GTAAAACATCGTTTTTGACTGCTATCAGATTTTAGCCCAAAACTCCATGTATGGAATACGATTTGGGTAAACTCTTGATAGCCATCTTATAAAGCTTGCTACGCTCTGTTGAATGATTACTCAAGCCACATCATTTGAAGGAAAGACACAACTATACGAACGTTGTAGTAAAAACAGTAAAAAATTATGGGAAAGTTAATAATTTGACTTCATAAAACTCCTCGCGGTTCAGAAGCAGATAGATCGATAAAATCTGGGTCTAAGCAAAAGGGCTTACTCTTTGCCAGCAAATCCATGCGTATAAGCAATAGGGACAATGGTGTTGAGTTCGGTCTGTGCGCTGAGCAGTCCGTTTCCAATAAGTATTCCCTGAAATTCATTTGATCAATGATTGATTGACATTTCTGCGCTCACCTGCAGATTCGCATGTGATTGTCCTGTTTTCAGTTTTTCGAGAATGATTTGCGCAATCTTCGTCACATAGACGGAAGCATAACCTTCTCCAGCCAAGTAAAGTGTACTGTTAGCTCTTTCGGGGTATATCGTGAAAAAGTTGGTAAGGCCATTCTCCAACACTGTTGCGATCTGAAAACTTTCAATCTTCAATATACCCACAGATCGAATAAGTAAGCTTACCGTTTCATCGCTGAACTCTTCTTTTGGGTTAGAGGAGTAACCTAAACCAGGCGGATCAATCACGAGAAGGTTTGCAACCTGAAAAAATCTTTATGTTGGAACTAAAATCTCTTGAGTAGCCGGATAAACCTTATTCCATGAGAAGACATTCTCATACAGTGGCTTTCCTTCACCATAGGAACGAAAAGGCCCAATATTCATCATCATTGCGTAAGATGAACTGCATTGTGCTCCGCTGACGTACAGTATCAAAGGATCTGTCGATGGACTAGTTTGAGACTCGATGTACCTAAAATGCAAAAACTCTAAATCAGTAAATATGTTCCCTTGAATTTTAACTTATAAGAGGTTTGATGAAGAGAGGCAAAATGTGTCGCAAAGCATCTTCAGTGGGTTAACGTCATTTTAAGAGTTTAATGATAAGATCAAATGGAAATTTGATTGAGGTGGATAAAACGAAAAAGAGGTGTGGTTCAGAAACTAGGAGAAGTA